AGAGCAGGCTTTACTGTACCAGTAGTTCATCCTGTCAACCTTCAATACTTTAAATGCAAGAGTGAGGCTGGGTCAGAAGATTGTTCAGGAGCGAGAACCTGCTCATGTTGTGCAAAATCAGTGGTTTCCGTGAGTCCCCGAGTCCATCTGAGCTCTGCGGATACTTCACTGGTGTTGCGCAACTCGGAGCTGTTTGGCTCTGGAGCCGTGGCAGAGCCTGGGACGATGTTTAAGCTCGATGCTGCCTTCTCACAGGGCTGAAGCATGCTTGGGTCCTGCCGGGGCTGCATCAGGAGAACCTCATCTTGCATGTTGCGTGGGCATGGGATTCCTGTCGATTCCCAGCATTTTCCCCTGGGGACAGCCATCCATCCTGTACCCTGTACTCGCTTGAACCAAGCTAAATGGAGAGCGAGCAGCCTGTGACGCCCCGTTCGCTGGAGAGGCTTGGGAGTGGCATTTGGATTTAATTATCCAGTAAGTTTCAGTGCTTGTTTGAATTTTGACTGAGCTGGCTGCTTGTTTCCATGGAACAAAGTTCTCCACCCTTCTTGGGAGTCAGCTCGGAGACCCCAAGAGCGGTAATTAGGATGGGCAAGAGGCTTAGTCTGGAAAGCATCAGTCCCTGTGCAAAGCTGTCATGGAGAGGACTGGGAAGTGTCGGTTTTGCAACCTATGATGCAAACTGTGCTCCTGCTCTGAAGAAACCTGGTGTGGGTTTTTTTCACTTTGTTTTGAACAGTTGAGGCTTCAGTCATAGTCCCACTGAAATTACAGTTCTCTTGGACTAAAAAAACACTGTTAAAAGTAGTTATAAAGCTACTTAAGTACATAGCAATACATTATTTCAAGGAAATCAAGTATTTCTGCTTGTACTTCAGCTGTGTTCTTTCATGCTCCAGCAGCAGAAAACCTTTCCTGCTCAGAGAGAAAGTTTTCTTACCTTATTTTGTAGCAGTGATCGCATGGATGTGTTGTTTTTTTTTTTGACAAGTAACTCTCATGTTTTATTATTTAAAAATTCTCGAATGCTCTTTGGCATCAACTTCTTAATAGATGGAGGGAAAAAAGGTGCTGATTTGGCAGCCTAAATACTAGAAATTCATTGTCTTGCTGTTTTTTCCTGTTCTAGTATCCGATTCAGGACAGCTAGTGCCCAGTTTAACCCAGTCATTCTAGGATGATTAAGTTGATGGTTGGATATTCTGAACATGGGCTAAATTTTAGCAGTTGCTGGAAGTGAGTGGTGTTGGTAGAGATGCAAAAGGACACTCCTGACAGAGATGGGTAGCCTGACTTTCTAAGGAAATGTGACTTTAACAATCACACAAGTGATGTTGTAGCAGCAGGAGTTTCTAAACCAATATTTTTTTGGAACAGATTCTTCTGAGTCCATAAACGTTTTGACAAAACTGATGGGTAGGTAGAGGACAAAGGCTCAGTTACTGCTTTGAGGGTGATGTAATATAAACCCAGCCTTTCCTGGACATGGGAAACCCCTTGGTGTTTAAGAAGACAGAAGACCATGCAAAACTGGCCTTCCTCGCTTTGTCAGTCAGCAAACAACTTGTCTCAAGTTCGTGTAAATACCCTGGCTCGGTGGCCAGCATAAGCCCCACATGGTAGGATGAAGAGCGAGGACGTGGAGGTTTTCTGTACCCCCTGCAGAAGTGATTTTCAGTCTCAGCCTCTCTGCATTTTGCAGGTTGCTCGCTTCCAGCTTCCTTACAGTGAAATTACATGGCAATCTCTTGTGATGGCTCTGTAGGAGGGACGAATTAACCCAGCCTGTAAGAATAACAAGGGAACAGTGACCCTGGATACTCATCTCCGGTGGTAATAGTGATAGGATGCACTTCAGCTCTCATTTTTGGTGTCTTCAGGGATGCTGTGCGCTCATCAGACATCCTAGCGAAAGTGTGGTTCATGCTATCGCTCTCGGCCGCATGGATAATCCTCGCGGGTGCCCATGGGATGTGGTGGGAGCTCTCTGGGATGTGGTCTATGGGGTCTTGGGCCAGCTCTCGGGGACTGCCAGGTCTTTCTTTTGGGAGGAACAGTGGGAGCAGCTGACAGTCACTCCAGAAAACTTTGAAGGTACTCTATCCCTGTTCATTGGTTTATCATCAATATTATTATTAGTAATTTACCCTTGGCCTCCAGAAAACCCTGCTGTTCCTCCTTGGGACAGGCAGTTCTGGCTCTTAAGTCCTGGAATATCCTTGCAGGATTCCATTGGGTTAACCAGAAATGCATCTCTTCGCAGATGCTGCCAGGCATGTTGGGGGAGGTTTGGATGTGGGAGAGCAGTGGTGAATCGGGGGGTTTTGCTAGCAAAAGCCCACCTCTGCCACTGCCTATGGAGGCCTGTTTCCCCTTGACACTAGGATCTGTGTTTTGTGACAGCGAGTTCAGGAAACTTTTGTTGTCGATCGGGTTGGAAAAAAGACAAGGACGAGGGGCATTTTTAGAGATTATGGCTTTGGAAAATTCCTGGAGGGCGGTGTGTGTGCTTTTTGGCTTTGTTTTGTGTGTGGTTTGTTTTTGTTTTGTTTGTTTTTTTTTTTTTTTAACTTGTCCCTCCCCACTTTCCCTTCCCCCTCCATAAAAAAAGAGGGGTTTTTCTTCCTTTTTTTTTTTGTGTTGGTTTTTTTCCTACTACAAATCTGTCTGGAATACTCTGCTTGTCCCCTTTTAAAACAAACAAACAAAAAAACCCAAACAACAAAAAAAAAGGGCAAAACGAAATACCAAAACCCAAACTATGGGAACATTCTAGTTCTTTTAGTTTCTTTTCTTGAACTAGAATGAATAGCTATCTTTTTTTTTTTGAGTGTTTTCTTGTAACATTTCAGGTTAAACTCCCTGCCACACCTCTAGAAAAATGTACCTGTGCTTTTAGCATTCAGGGAAATGTGGACGAGGAGAGGAATTGCACTTTAATGGACTCCGATATGAATTATATTTTATTAATTCAATATTTAACATTGCTACATAAATACATATTTATATTCTTCATATATATGCACACACATTGCCTACAGGAAAATGTAGGCATTTTCATAACGCCTGCTGTAGGCATTAGAGCTCATTTCTGAGTTCTAAACTAAAAGTGACACTGGATTTTCAACATCTTTCCTGTGTTTCTTTAATGAGATAGCTGTGGGTACACAGCATGCATGAGAAGTCTTTTTCTCGGACCTTATATTTTTTCAAAGCTTCAGTCCTGATACAACTTAGTAGGAGAAGCAGGAAAAGAGGAGTTGATGCTATATTTGAGCATGAGGATCCAGGGCATATACCTCCCTGGGGAAAGAACCACTGTGTGTGGGTCCATTCCAGTGTGATTTCATATAGCTTTTGTCATATTTCACATCTTTGCAGACTTTGAGTTAATCCTGCAGGCTGGCTTGGAGCAGGGGTGGCTCTGTCCCAGGAGACACTTGGATTTACACAAAATGCAGTAGCTGTATTTGTATTTTTACACTAATAGCTGCATGTGACTAATACCTGCCTCTCTTGACTGTATTGTGAACATGCAACAGGTTTTCACATCCTCTGAATGGGTATGGGGTGCCCTAGATCTTGATAAGGCTTTCAGTGTTCATGGTTGGTATTTTGCAATGAAATAGAATCATAGAGTCACAGGATGGTTTGGGTTGGAAGGGACATTAAAGACCATCTAGTTCCAACCCCCCTGCCATGGGCAGGGACACCTTTCACTAGACCAGGTTGCTCCAAGCCTCATCCAGCCTGGCCTTGAACACTTCCAGGGATGGGGCATCCACAGCTTCTCTGGGCAACCTGTGCCAGTGCCTCACCCCCCTCGCTGGGAAGAACTTCTTCCTGACATCTAATCTAAACCTCTCTGATTTCAATTTATACCCATTACCCCTTGTCCTGTCACTACAGGCCCTTGTAAAAAGTCCCACCCATCCTCCTTGTAGCCCCTTCAGGTACTGAAAGGTGCTATAAGGTCTCCCCAGAGCCTTCTCTTCTCCAGGCTGACCAAGCCCATCTCTCTCAGCCTGTCCCCATAGCAGAGATGCGCCAGCCCTCTGAGCATCTTCGTGGCCTCCTCTTGACTCGCTCCAACTGGTCTATATCCTTCTGATGTTGAGGGCGCCACAGCTGGACGCAGCACTCCAGGTGGGGTCTCACCAGAGCAGAGTAGAGGGGCAGAATCCCCTCCCTCGACCTGCTGGCCACACTTCTCTGGATACAGCCCAGGATATGGTTGGCTTTCTGGGTAGTTAACAGCTGCTTTAAGAGACCATGACCATAGATGTGTAAGTGCTGGAAAGGAGGAGATTGGTCTCAGAGCAAATGGGTCCCTCAAAGTTTTTAATTTAGTGCAGAAATCAGAAATACCACCTGGGCTCTTGGTGCTTTTCTCTTCTGCCCCAGCTAGCTGAGTTTGTTGTCTCTTCTAATGAGTCCTCTCCCCAGGTTCCTTCCTGGCTCTAGTTTTGGAAAGCAGCTGTGGCTCTTGAGAATCTCTAATGAAGAGGGAGGGAAGGAAGAGATGAAAAACCAGCCTGTGCTCCACCTGCTGTGTGAGCTGTCTGCGTCTGGAAGGGTTTCTGCCTCATAGACCATCATTTTACACCTCACAAACTGGATCCAGCCCCACCCCCCCGACAGTACATCTTGCCTATGTGTCCCCCTCCAAAGGGCTCCATGGACAGCAGACATGGGCTACAAGCTGGAGGAACAGTGGCCTCAGCCATCCTCAGCCACTGGCTTTTCTGGGGATCTCTCTCACCTGTGCTGAAGAAACCTGTGTTTCCAAGACACGGTGGCCTGGGAGGGACTGTGGTTTAGTCTTTGAATGCCTCGCTTAATAGGAGAGCTAGACATGGTGTCTTTTGACCTATTTGAGTTGAAAGGTTTGTATTTACAATGCTGTATTTTTATTCTGCACTTCTAGGGATGAGGTTGCCTTCAACTCTTCAGTTCTCTCTTCTTTTGCAGATGAAGAAGAAGCTCTGAACTCTATTATGAAGGATCTGGCGGCGTTGGGCAAATGTGGGGGCCTGCTGGACAACAACAGGAATAAAAACAGTGTCCACTCCAGCAAACAGGTAAGGTATTGCTTGAGTCCACCCCACATTCCAGTAAACCAGAGGTGGGCATGGTGCTTACCATGCTGGGAGAACAGGTTTAAATGTTAGAACCGAAGTTAACAAGTGCTGCAGGAGCTCAGCCCATCAGAAATAACATAATTTTACCAAGTCATAAGCTTTAGGACCTCTTTTTGAAGAGCTGAAAAGCAGCTACAGGCATCCCTGTATTGCAGAGGAGAAGAGTCAAACCCCAAATCGTTCACAAATCCAACTGGTTTTAAATCTCGAATCCCACACTAAGGCACTACTTTCTCTTGCTTAGTACTGCAGGTAGTACAACATGCTGCACGCTATGCAGCTTCAAGATTTGGATTAATCAGATGTTTTCTGTTGACAGCGTTGATGAAATACCGTAGTTATTATGTGCACATTTTAGTTCAGATATGTGAAAGACAGACTGCCAACTTCAAGCTGTAGACACCCAGGCTCTTTTGGGAGGAATAATGTCATTCTTACATAAAGTGTTTAAATATTAATTGCTGGTGTTTATCTTTATGCTCCTAAACCTAAATATTTTGGCCCTGTTGCGGATTCAAAGTTGATTTGATGAGCAAAAGCCTTGTCCCTTGAGCAATGTCAGAAGTTATTCGCTGACATTGATACAATAGCTAAAGTGGATTTAACAGCCTGTTTTCATATGGAACAAATATTACGTGAACATGAACCTTGTGAAGAAAGGACTCGGTTGTCAAAATAGCAAGAAAAACAGAAGGGGAAAATTAATTAACAGGACAGGGAAGCTGCTGGGGAAGCATGCGAGCAAATCCACTTGGAATTCCACTTGGAAGTGCTATGGCTTCAAATAAGCTTTGCAATCAAGTTTGCAGTCGCTGAATGCCTAGCAAGGAAGAAACCAAATTGTCGTTTATTGTCGTCATGCATATTTTAATGGCCGTTGTGCTACTAGCAAAGAACTCTGGATACAGAAGGGAAAAATCCTTTCCCGAGTCCCTCTAGACTTCCTAGACACACGCAGACGAAAACGCGTGCGCACGTAGCGTGGCTGTTGTAGCGTGTCCTGGCGGTAGCAGCAGTCCAAGTTGAATCACTGCATTTGTGTTCAGCTGATGCTGAAATAAGTCCAAGATGTTTACAAAACTGAGTGGAGAAATTCAGAGCTGGCTCTCTGCAGCTGCAGGCAGACCAAACGATCCAGCGCGACTTTGGATGGCTCTGAGGGTAGTATTGATGGGTGGGGACCATACCAAGCCATCTCGAGATGCTTTCAGGATAGCAGAGCTTTTTAGACTTCTCTTAAAGAACATATTTGTTTTCTCACTGTCATTTTTAAAAACTGCTGCTGTAAATACTGCAGATACACAGTTAACCAGATATTTAGTCTAAAATAAGAAAACCAATAGTTTTTATGGTCTGTATTCTTACTTACAAAAGTTTCATAAAACCAAAGTCATGCAATCAAACTTGGATTCACAGCCCATCCCCTCTGAATCTTCATTTATAAATCACCAATAGTTATGTTGTGCTCTACTGTTAACTTCAGAATTGTTGGCTGCCACTCGCATTTAATTTGATTTTATTACGAATCAAACTGTTCTTCCCAATTACAACATTGATGCTTGGAAAAACATTGCCTCCTTTACAATTTTAATTTTTTTCCATAAGCAGACCAGCCGTAGCTGCGTGCTCGTAGATACTCAGAGTTCTCTGATGGAGGAGCACAAATAGTCAGCATCCCGCTCTCCTCACGCATCCGGGGCTGAGGATTCAGACCAACAGGCCCCACGAGATGAAGGGCGTTGGAGTATGTTGAATTGTTGCTTCACTAAATTGGACTGGCTGGAACAAGTCTGGCTCGCGGGATGACAGGAGTCTGGTCTGGGAGGTGGGGGGATGGCCAAAATAGGTGGAATTAGTGGGGACTTGGTTCATATTTGCAGCTCAGAAACTTTTAATTGATTTGTTTGGGTCACTTTTAGGGGTTTTTTCCCTTGTTTTTTAGCATGGAAGTTGATGGGGAGGGAAAGATTGCTTTGGAGATGCTGTTTTCATGCCTGTGATTTGTTGTTCTGTTGGTACTTGGTGTTCCCTTTTTTCTTTTCTTTTTTTCCCCTGTGATCAGGTTGGCTGATGGTGCTGAAGGATGTAATTGCACAGTCCCCCTTCTTGGAGAGGGAGAGTGAAGCATGGGTCATTTAAATGCTAAATTTTCCTCTTGGGAATCTCATTGTAGGTGTCTTGTATTAGGCCCTGCAGCAGCATTTTCACATTGAAATACTTGTGTCTGGACATTCAGTTGTTAGATTTAAAAAAAAAAAGTCTTTTTTCTGTGACAAAAATGCTTTTCTGAGGCATGGGAATCCTTTAGTCAGTGTTCCAAATTTCCACTGAAAAACATTTTAAACAAGAATGTGTTGACTAACTAGTCTGTCCCTTTGTGGCTTGCAGCAGTTTTTTGGTCCACAAAGCAACACAACCCAAGTGCTATCTCATCCCTGTCTCCTGGAGGAGTTCCTTACTGCTCTCTTGACAGAAGTTGAAATTTGGAGCCTGCCAGAGAGTATTCCTTGTAGGCCTGGGCCACACAAGAAAGCAGTCTGTGGTGGTGTGTGCTATTTCTTCCCCAGAATACCGACAGTTTTGCTTCAAATTGTTTTATGCAATGAACTTTTCCTGTGGCTAATTGCATAAAACTTTTTTCTTTTTTTTTTTCTTTTTTTTAGTTTGCTTTCCTTACATATGAGTTCAGAACTAAGGCTGAGTTTCTGGATGTCTAATGCCTCTTGCTAGAACAAGATGGAAATGGGAACCACAGTACTTGCTGTGCAGTGCAGACGAGTTTCCTCCCTTAGATTGCCCAGGCGGATGGCAGCAGATGTGATGGCTGAGCTTGACTGTCCTGAGTCCTGGTCAGGTTTGGGTCACTGCGCTGCCTTTCTGCCTCGTGAGAGAACAGGGCAGAGGGGAGAGGGAGACAGCTTTCCTTCCACATGTATGTACGAGCTTTAAAACAGAGCTGATCTTTGGGAACAGAGGGATCATCCTGACATTATTCCCAGTGCATCCTCTGCACTATTATTCCTCCGTTATTATAATACAGAATCACAGAATGGTTTGGGTTGGAAGGGACCTTAAAGCCCCTCCAGTTCCAACCCCCCTGCCATGGGCAGGGACATCTTCCACTAGACTAGGGTGCTCTAAGCCTCATCCAGCCTGGCCTTGAACACTTCCAGAGATGGGGCATCCACAGCTTCTCTGGGCAACCTGTTCCAGTGCCTCCCCACCCTCTCCGGGAAGAACTTCTTACCTGATATCTAATCTGAATCTCCCCGCTTTCAGTTTAAACCCATTACCCTTTTTAAAAAGTCCCCCCCAGCTTCCTTGTAGCCCCTTCAGGTACTAGCAGGTGCTATAAGGTCTCCTCGGAGCCTTCTCTTCTCCAGGCTGAACAAGCCCAACTCTCTCAGCCTTTCTTCACAGGAAAGGTGCTCCAACCCTGTGATATTCCATTTATCACTCCATTATTCCTCATGCCTCCTCTGGTGTGGCTGGAAGGAGTCCTTTCAGGCAGTCTCCTGGATTCAACAGACAAAGGAGTTTGTTTATAGTGGTGGCCCTGAAGAGGGGAAGGAGGAAACAGCAGAATAAAGATCTGCGTTGTAATCACTAAGGAGAAAGATAAATGGGATAAGAAGGGAAACCACAAAGAATTGGAAACCCCAGATAAAAGCACGGAAGAGAAAGGAACAATTACATTAACATTTATTTTGAATCTATGTGCGCATCCCTTTATTCATGCAACTAGTGCTTGGCAACTCGCAGTATGAAGTTAGTGCCACGCTTCAGTCTGATGATGAGGCATTGGTGTGGGCCCCTGGCACAGCTGATGACAGCTAGCGAGTCCTCTGCCACCTTAATTTCGATTGCAGGTTCTCCCACAGCAGTGAAGTCCAATACTTGCAAGGAATGTTTTCCCAGGCACAACAAATGTCAGACTGACCTAGAAGTTGTTCTTTTATTACCTCCAGTTTCTCTTTGGCAGTTGGATTCTGCACGAGGCTTGCTCGTAACTCAAAATACAGCTCGTGTTCTAGGGCTCTCTGCTTGTAGGTCTTCAAGCAGCCTGAAAGGTGTTTGGCTTTGTCACCAGTGGTTTACTGCTGGGGAATATGATGAGGGTCTATAAACACCACCTTGAAGATGGGACTCTCTATAGGGAGACCTGCAAGGATTGCCTTACGTGGAGGGCAGCACTGGTTGGGAAAGGTTTGGCTGGAGGTGTCAAAGGCAGTGGGATCCGAAGGATTTGGGGAAGAGGCTTTCCCTTGTCTGTGTGCGGAGCTGACTTGGGTGCTAAGAGGGTAATACCAGGGAGATATCTATTACCTGGCAGGTGGGTGGTTTTGGATAAACATTCTGAAGCCTGTGATTTCTGCTGCTGTATAAACCAAAAATACCTATACCAGGGGGTGATGAACCCTCTAGAAACCATCTTTCCGCTGACCCCTGGGTTGCTCATGTGCTGGGCTTGCTTTTTGTGAGGAAAAGAGCTGTAAGGATCCAGGGAGACCAGGCTATCTCATGGCTAGAGGAGAGGAGAAGGGGGCAATCCCAGACAAACCTCTTTCTGTCTGATTGCTGAATAACCCGGAGCGCGTGGGGGTTCTGCGCGGATAATTCCTAATGACGCGGATTAGTCATCTCCTATTGCGGTTTAGGGACGCGGTCCAGCTGTCTGGCTTGTAACGAACGTCCCGTTGCTAAAAGCAGGGGCGAGCAAAGGACTAATGCAAACAACGTGCACGTCGGGGAGGTGCAGAAGTCCCCTCAGCCTGGCCCTGCCGTGCTGATTTCTCTTGGCTGCAGCCAGAAGTTGAGGAGAAACCCACTGCTTTGTGGCTGTGTACAAAGGAGTAACTAGAGCACTGATGTTCGGCGGCGTTTTCTCATTGTTTCCTAATCCAACAAGCAGAAAATGAGAGAAGTGAAAATAATGCCTCTGCTTACCCTCCAGCATGCAGAATTGCATCTCTGTCATTGCCCCTGTTTTACCCAGAGGGAAACTGAGGCAAAGTAAGTGCCTGAGGTGTCATGGGTGGGTAAGAGCAAAGCTGGAACAAGCCTGTCTCGGTGCAGCGCTGGAGGGAAGATGAGGCCCCTTGTGATGATTTTTCCTGCCTTTCTTGACCTCAGAAGGGTTAATGCTGGAGTCAGAGGCTTTGTCACAGGGGGTTTGTGAGGCAACCATGGATTTAGATGGAAGGAATGATCCAAAGGCCCTGTCCCAGTGGTGTCTCAGTGTGGACAAAGCTGTTTTTTGGTTAGGTTTGACAAGAGCAGCTTTAAAAGCAAGTCACAGAGGTGGGGTACAACCGAAACGCTGTTCCTGACGGTGGCTGAATTTGGGAGGAGAAGTGGTGATGGGGGGAGTCTTTGAACTTGGCGCTTGTCTGGGGTTTTGCAGCGTGGCAGTTTTAGGTGCTTCAGCTCTCTGTGCCGCACAAGAGCACAGGCAGATGTGGAGGTCCTGGTCTGCAGTCGGTGGCATTGAGGCGATGTGGCAGGGGTGTCCCTGTGCCATCGGTCACCCTTCTACGCTGGCACGGACCTGTACCCTGATCTGATCGACCCTCGGGGTGTTTAACACCTCTTGTTCCTCTGAAGCCACTTCATTTTAGGCCTAACTGTGTATTTTCCTGCTCTCCGAGTGTGCTTTTATTATGAACAGCAGTCAGCTCTTCAGGGATCTCTGTATAAGATCATGATTCACCTCATTTGGAAACACTTTTTTCCAATGTTTTCCTTAATCTAAACCAGCATGCAGAGCTGCTTGCTCCAGCTCCAGGGGCTGAGCTTGGCCAAGCCTGCTGGGGTGCATGGTCACCAGCCGAACACCAAGCGAGCAGAAGCGGTTGCCCCCTTTCCTCCCCCCGGATTTCTGTCAGTGCTTCCTCCAAAGCTTGGCAGTTGTGGGCTTCTCATGAAATTAGAAGTTTTGAGGAAGGAGCTAAAAATACCTTAAGGAAAGCCTGGAAAGATGGTGATGGGTTTGTGGCCACTGCGGTGGCTTTGCTTTTTCCTTTCCAAGGCGGATGGCAAGAAAGAGAAAAATACCATTTGTTAGCAGGGCTGGAGGAAATGACGGTACAAGTATCTCGGAGAAGAAAATATTCCAGAAACGAAGGGAATTACTGTGGTATTTCCTGTCGGGGTTGTCACTTACTTTGTTTGTGTGGCAGGCCTACAGACGCCAGCCGAGACGTGGGCTCCTCTGTGCCCCGTCATACAGAAACGCATGTGGAGAGGGGAAAGTTGCTCAGTCCATACAGCCCAGGAGATCAAACATCTAAACTTTGTGCTTGGCTGTGCCACTCTGCTTCATAGAATGAATCACAGAATGGTTTGGGTTGGAAGGGACCTTAAAGACCATCCAGTTCCAACCCCCCTGCCATGGGCAGGGACACCTTCCACTAGACCAGGTTGCTCCAAGTCTCATCCAGCCTGGCCTTGAACACTTCCAGTGCTTCTCTGGGCAACCTGTTCCTGTGCCTCACCACATTCCTCCTAAAATAATCTCTTATCCAATCTAAATCTACCCTCCTTCTGTTTAAAATCATTGTCCTTTGCCCTGTCACTACAGGACCTGGAAAAATCTCTCTTCATCTTATAAAGCCCCTTTTATATATTGAAAGGCTGCAACAAGGTCTCCTCAGAGACTTCTCTTCTCCACGATGGTCTTTTTCTTCACACCCTTAGGAAAATCACCTTGTGCCTGAGTGTCCCCTGCTTGTTCTGTGAAACACTCAATGAAATCCCCTGCCAGAGCTCAGTGTTGAAGGCTGGTGCCTTGCAGCATGCCCTTACCCCTCACCTCCGCCATACACTTCTTGGATGTTTCAGCTTGTTCTCCTACACCAACTGATGACCTTTTGCCTGTGGGGAGAAGGCTGCCATTAAGCGCATTTGACAGCTGATGGCAGGGAGGGTAAATAGCATGACTTGGATTGCACAAGGAGGAGTTGCTGTTGTCTTCATTCCTCACAAAATTGCAAATGTGGATAGGACATGGTAGCCTCCACCACCATTACCTCTTCCCTGACCTGCCCTCAAGCATTTGCATGTTGTGTTGAGGTCCTTAAGGAGAAGATGCTGGTCCTGCCTTCCCCTCAATTGTGCCTTTGAGATGCTGGGTGCAGGCTTGCGTGAGATTTTGCTCCAGGACTTGGCAGTGCCTCAGACTCCCTGTATAATCTCAAACCAGTTGTTCCAACTCAGATTTCCATGGGTGTAAAAAATCACAGCCTGCTCGGGCGTTTAGGAAGTGCTTTGCCTCCCCCCTGGGACTTCCTAGTGCTTTGGACACCACCCACTTTTTTTTTTTAAAAAAAAGGATTTGTTGCTGATTAGCGGTGATGAATTCAGCTTTAGCTGTGGGTGAAAAACATGAGCAGGCCAGGGAAGATTGCAAAAGAAAACTATACACAACCTCTCAGACTACGTATATAGGTATTTCTTCCTCCTTCAAACGCTTATGGGTTCAAGGTCTTGGTTTCTTCGACGGAGGCAAGAGGTTTTATGTTGGCCAAAAGATTAAATAATACAATTAACAAATGAAATGGGTTTTCATTCCCCTTTTGGAGCTGGTGTGTGTGTTGCTCTGCTCAGAAGCAGAGCAGTGTGGGGCAGCTGGCTCACTTCTCCTGGCTTCAGGCCATAGCACATCAGCGCTGTTGTTGATGTAGAAGAAAAGGATGCAGCAGGGTCGTGGCTTTTTTTTTTTCTTATTTTTCCCTTTTCTTCTCTCTCTGGAGCTTTATACAAGTGTTTTGACATTTTCCAGCCACATGCTGTTTTTCAAAACTTATTTGTCTGCGAAATTTATGTTGCTCAGCATAAACAGGCAGCGTATGCTCCATCCCACTTCGGTGCAGTGTTTGGGTCTGTGCTGAAAGTGAAACCTCTGTTTTGAAAGGTTTCCTGCAGCATGGCTGGAGCTGCGTGAGCTTTCCCCTTTACAAGTCCTGCTCCTTTGTAAGGAAAAGCCTCAAAAGGTCCTTGCTCTTATTTCTTTTCCCTTTAGAGAAGGGCTTTGCGGAGCTGCGTGCAGTGAATGCGCACTGGCTGATTTACTGCCAGCATCCAGGGGGGATGAACCAGCCCAGCCCTGTCCAGAGAGGCACGTGCAAATAAAAATCTGCATAAAAGACCCCATATATCTTTTTCTTTTCTGACAGAGATAATCCAAGGTGGCAATCCTACAGGTTTTTGCCTGTCTCTCTAGAATGACTTGGACCTTCCATACTAGCTTGGTTATGGTCATCTCTTTCGAATTTTGGGCTGGTTTAGAGTTACTTTGGTATTTTTATGGTTTGGGCTTGGTTCTAGAAGTGAACCTGGAGTTTGTCCAAATGTTGTGGGTCTGGAGAAATGGCTGTAGACACCGAGGTGATGTAAGCACCTATTTAGCACAGGCCTGTAACACTGCTGGAGTACCCTGTTTGGTGACTGTCCTGGCACTGGTTCTTCCCAGCCTTTCTGGAAACACAGAAAACATCACAAGCAGAGAGAAAAAGGATGCGTTTTGGGTGATCCAACATGTTTACCCTGAATTTGCTGGGGTTTTTTTAAGCTTTTCAACCGCATCGCCTCCAGCCTTGACTTCCTGAACTTGGCTGCGTGTTTGCAGAACTTGGAGCTGTCAGTTTAAAAATAAACCTAAGGATGCCCATCCAGCTAATTTTCCTCATTAGAGACAAAGCTGTTTCACTCTGCCTCTGCTTTCCCTCTGAGAGGATGGAAAGTGTGCCTTCACGCGCTGGCAATCCAGGGTTAGAGATAAAGCCCTTGCTCAGGAAGGGCTGTCACCCACCCATTCGGGGATTATCCCTGTGAGATGCTGGCAGTGCAGGACCGAGCCCTCCCTGGTGTTACACCTCAGGGGGAGGAGGCAAGCACGTTTTTTCTCCATGGGAGGAAAACCACTATTTGAGGAGGCTTGTGTGCGGTAGCAGGGGCAGAGCCCTGGTTAACTGGGGTGACTAAACCTGGTCTGGGAAGTAAAGAGGGTTTTGATCTGCCTTGGAGACCATCAGAAAGCTCTGGCATGAACCAAGGGATGCTAGAGGGATGCTTGGCTCAGGCTCAGTCTGAGAGGCTGAATGAATGAAAGGACTCCTTGTGGTCTTGATCGCTGCTAAATATGCACAGATAGAGGATGGGAGAAGTGGCTTTTACTAGTCCCCTCACAGTTGTGTGCCCAGTCTGCCCATGATTCTGCTGGCACTGCCCTGGGCAAATTTCATGATTTCTCTTGAGGTGAGCAGTGGGTCAGTTCAGGGTGGACATGTACTGTGTATGATGTAGCGATGCCTGATACACTTTGCGTTTTGTATGTCCTATGAAAATAACATCCACCCCACCCCAGCACTGTTGGCTTTTAAAATCCAAGACTGATTCTCCACTTCTGTTTATAGCATGCTTGTTTTTACTTCTTATTTCTTTGCCCCAAATGTTCCTGTGTTCTATTAAATATTCTCTGAGCTTTGTTTTTTGGGTTTCCAACAGAAAACTACTGGGGTAAAACCATGGGAAGCGCTGAAGATGGACAGATATCAGACACTTAACATGTTTGCCTCTTAGATAATAGCGCCTTGTTCCCAAGTGAGTTCAGAGCATTCAAAATTTTCCACTTTTATGAATGAATTTTATTAAAACTTAACAGCTATGCAGATGGGTGAATGTCCTCATGTGTAGAAGACCTTATTTTTGACAAACGCACTTATCAGCAATGTGGATTTTCCGCAGAGCCCTCGAGTCCAGCAGGCAGCTTGGCCCTAAATAGATCAGATGCCCACTGGAGTTAGGGGAGTCTCCCTGAGAACTGCTGTCAGCTTTGGATCTGCATGTCAGTCTGGGATGTAGTTTGGGACCTCACCATTTTCTGCTTTTTCTTTCAGCAGCGAAATGTCAGGATCAAGTTTGAATATGAAGGAGAGAAAAGGTATGTACCTAACCCAGTCCCCCACATGCATAGGGATAAATTACCCTTTTACCCAGTGTCATCCTGCTGACCAGCCATCTGCAGATGAGCTGACAGTGGGATTTTTTCCCCCTAAAATCCACTACAGTTTTACGTGCAAAAGCCTTGCCTTGTCATCCCCTTTGCCACAAGTACCTCCTGGGATTTGCACACAGGCGGAGTGGTTCCAATCTGGAAGTCATTAAATGCCTCTTAGCAGGGACACAGGGTGCACACTTGGATCCTTTTCTCTTTTCAGTTCTTTTTTTACCACAGCTGAGCTGTAACTCTACAGAAGTGTATCCTTTGATTAGCAGCCTGTGACACTTACTTAAGATAACCAGATTTTGGGCATGGGTCCCATAAAAATAGAGCTGGGAGTTGAAGCTTGCCCGCCCTTCCCTGCTTGACATTTTCATGGAATCACCTCTGCTCGCTGCTTGGTGGCTGTGGCAGGGCGGGACATAGGGCTGGAAACTCTCAGGCTGATCGTCCAAGTTACATGTTAAAGCCAAAAAAGATTTAAATAATTTCACCACAGGGCTAGACTGTACCTGCTGATATGACCTGCTGCATGTGATGGTACAGGAGAGTCACAGGATGCCAAACTGCGTTCTTCTCTCTTCCATCCCTCCTCCCTAATCAGAGTCATTTGCTGAAAATGGAGATAAATTACTGACCAGTGCCTGATCCTGGGTCTTCTCTAGTGAAGGGCTGCTGAACTTCCTTCTTTTCCACTTGTACCTCACAGCAGGGGAAGGAGCAGAGGAGCTGCAGTAGGGTTTTTGGTAAATAAATATTCCTGCAGGATAGGCCAAGTCCTCTCTTGGGCATAGCAGACGAGCAGTATTTCTGAGTGTAAAAGCAAGGAGCAAGCTTTATGCTTCATGATAGAAGCATACAGGTCCTTGCTTCTGAATTGCCAGTCTAGTCCCAGATTTCAGTATGGTTCTACTACGTTGAGACTGTTGTTGTATTTGTTTGTGTATACAGGATTATCCAGTTTCCAAGACCAGTCAGATTCAAAGAAGTGGTGCAGAAGGTCACGGATGCTTTTGGACAGACGATGGACTTGGTCTCTGTGAACAATGAGGTACTCCTCCTTACTGAGTTTTAGGGTCCCTGGTGCCCACTTCGGAATTGAGCAGTGGTTTGTTCTTAAGGCTCTGATTTAGTGTTGTACATGGATGTTAAGAAAAATGATCCTGTTTTGTAGTTCCCAGCTAGTGAGTGTACAAGATCTGGCTGGTTGAGCTCACACAGGGCAGAGAGGGCAACAGCTGAGCCCGAGAGCCACGTGAAGTGACTGTAGATACTCTGTGTTTGGTTTGGATGTGAGACCTTTCCATCTTGGGGGCAAGAGTGTGGTGAAGTCCAGACCATGAGGGATAGTGCTGCTAACGCAGCATACTTTTATCCATCGCTGACTTTGTTTCACCCCAAAACCCCAGAACCACGCGCATGTTGTTGTGGTTAAGTCTGCAGTGAAACGTGCATCGCTGTAGGCCCTTCTAGCAGGTCACGTAGGCAGCCAAGAAACATTCCCTCTGTCATCCTCACACTGTAAGGCTTGAAGACCTTTCTACTCCAGCCTTCTTCGTAACACAGGACACTGGTTTTCCAGCTTTTTCGTTGAGGCTAGCGCTGTGTCTGAAAGGATAGTACTGCTGAAGGCCTTGACCTCAGAGGGGGCAATCCTTGGCGGCTGTTTTGGTGTGCTTAGTGTTTTCTTGTGAGGCGTCTTGCCCTGAACTGGGCAGGGAGCTGGAGCCGCTGGAATCTTAAGGTGCATTTGGCTTTGAGAAGGAGGAGACAGCCAGATGACAAATAGGTAGACTTTTAAAAACCGTTTTTTGAGATCTGTCCTGACAGCTTGCTTGTTCAAGTATTAATTGCAAGTGACTAACAGCCTTTCATTAAGGTATGAATGAGAAGGAGGTCATGAAGAGAGCTTTCTCTCCTTCCCTCTCTCTTTTTTTTTTTTTCCTAGTGTTTCAATGGAAACTTGATCCATAAAAAGGTTGCTATTCTTCTATAACAGATAACTGCATGATACCAAAGTGTCCACTGGGTTTTGACTTTGAATGCGGTCAGGTTTCTAATCTTGGGCATTCTCTGAGAGCCCTCCCGGGAAAAGCGTGCCATTGAATTCTCCAGGAATGACTCATTTCATTCCAGGTTTCCAGTGGAAGAGGAACTTTTTTTTTCCAGCGACAGCAAACAGAAGCTTAAATAACACGTTTTATCCCATATTGGAGGCTGTCTTCCTTGGCGTGTGCACAGCGCATTGCTGGACATTGAGCAGGCCTTTGGGTAGTCTGAACTTCTTAGGGTTGAGAAGGACCTTCAGTGTTTTTGGTTTTCATACATAAAAATCCCTCCTTGTGAGAACACACACCTTTGGGAAGAGGTCTGAGCAGTAGTAATTTGGGGTTGTTACCATGGAAACATTATGAACGGTCAAAAGTGACCTTCGAGGAGATGGCCTGCATGTCCACATGGTGACACCCCGGCATCTGGCTCCTAGCATGTCCTGGGGCAGGTTTTTGAGTCTCATGACTAATTCTCAGAAATAGCCTGACCACAAACTCATTACAATTCAACATTTCACCCATCCTTCATGCTCAAAGGGAACTGTGCAATAATTCTGTGTTGCCATCAGATGTTTCTCTTGCAGTAGCACCTTGAGGACCAAAACTGCACTGAGGTCAACAGGCCTCTACAGAAACTCACTAAATGGTAGTCCCTGTCCTGGTGAAGCAGGACTCCTGAAGCCAGGATAGTGAGATGAGCATGCCAGCTGGGTGGAGCAGGGGCACGCATGAATCACATCCTGGTGGAACCATGGAATCAGTGGGCTTGGGCTGGTATAGATAAGAGCGGGACCTGGCCGTGGGTGTACCACATGGGCCATGTCTGCATGTTACAGCTAGGCTGGACTCATCTTGCTGGTGAGCGGGACAGCAAAATCTGGCCTGGCCATGGGCATGTTGCGGTGTGTGTTAGACAACTGGCTGCATTATGGATTGAAAGAGTGGGTTCTGCAGCAAATGCTCTGTCTGAATTTGATCTGTGTGTACTGCTAAACAGCTGTTCCAGCTGTGACTGTTACCTTGTCATTTGTCCCATCTCCATCACCAATTTGTGATGTGACTGTGGGCAGAACACTGAACCTCGGTGTGCCACTAGTTCCCTTCTGACCTTGTCCCCTCCGAGGCTGTGCCTCAGCATCATTTTGGAAGGTTAGGGAGAGTTAATGCTTAGGGAAGTGGTCAAAGCTCTGTTATAGGGGGAGGAGGAGTGTTTAAAAGCATATTTAACAAACATTTGTCGAGAATTGTTGATGCCAGTTGGTCCTGCTTTGGGCAGGAAGATGAACTAATTGACCTCTCAGATTTTTCCCCAACCCTGTTTCCTACTATTCTTCGGCTTTCTGCAGTGTCTTACCAAGTGAGATCTGGCAATACTGCCGCAGTCGATGAAAACTCGCCCTCTGCACTCTCTTTCTTGGACTGTGGTGGGTTGACTACCAAGTCCCATATTAAAACATTAGGCTCCATGGGAGTATACTATTTAAAAGCAAGAAGAAAATCTAGTAAGCTTTATTTAGTTTAACTTCTGTGTGGATAAACTTTGGTGTTCATCATGGCTGCTCACTCTGTAGACAGAATAAACCCTGTTACTGGAAATGCACCCTGGCAATTACTTCCCTGGTTCTGCGTGAGTCTATATTTAGATTCATGCCTAGTAGGTATCTGTTCCTGATATCCATATATACCACAGTTTGGAAGCCAAATGGAGCAAAATTTACTTGCCAGATGTGGGTAATAGGTAAAGCCAAGCTAAATACTGGCTCCAGTCCTTTTTACAGGAGGGCAATTTATGCCTGATGTTTTTGGCTTCTCTGAAGTAGGCATGCAAACGTGTTAATGTTGTGATATTGGAATGAGATGGAGTGACCTGCAGAACATTTTGTTCAAAGGAGCGGCTGAGGGATTGCAGCTCTGATCACTTGTGAGGAGCTCAGTGAAGTGATGGGTGAGCAGTGGGACTGTATTTACAGTTCACAGTCAAATTCTGCTTGGTGGTGAAGCTGGGGGTGGAGCATCTCTCCACCATTTTCATTTCTGTTTGGGTGAGTAGAGGAGAGAAGGCTTTGCTGCTTGATGCACCTGTGGAGCCCTTGTGAGCTTCAAGAGGATTAAGCAGTGTACCAAGAGAATATCCGTTAAGCTCTGCTGCTTAAGGAAGCAGACTCTGAGGACAGCTGCACAGCATTTGGGAAACTTATTCAATACCATCTTTGTCTGGTGTCCGACGGGTGATTCATTCAGATCCCAAAGTTTAACCATGAACCGTGGTCTAACCGTTTACTCCATTGAACTTCTGAAAGCCCTGAATAGTTGATACCTACCTGGTGAGTACTTTCCTTTTATTCATGTCCAAGCCCTGTCCTGGACTGGAAATCTGTTTCCAGCCTTGCTTGTGAGGCTTAGCCCAGACAAGACTGGTGCTGGCATTCCCTGTAAACCCCCCAGATGGTTAGGTCCCTTGCTTGGGAGGTAAGGCACATCTTCCTGAATTTTTCTCTTCCCCTTCTGGCTTGGTTCAGAACTCAAGTCCCCTCCTTGACAGGCTGTGGGACATCCCAGGGCAAGGCACTCTCAAGAGTTCCTCCCGAAGTCTTTTTTCCTAAACACAAAAAACTATTTAATTTTTGGACAAAGGTTGCATAGCCTGATTGTCCCTCTTCCTAGGTGAACGTGCCAGATGCTTTGGTCACAAGTTTCCTCTTCATCTTTTTGTAGAAATTTCTCAACCATCTTTGCATACCTTACATTAGAAGAGCACTCCTATCTCAGCCTGGACTTGGTTGCTTAAATGTCTTTTGAGAACTGGCCTGGTCTTTCCTCAGCACTTACCACTGCTTCCTGCAGTTCCATCTGGCAGCTTCCTTTTCTCACCCATTAATCCCATTTCTGGATCTCTGACTCTCTTGTGCATGCTCTAGGGGTCTTGGGTCTGGACCCCGATGGTAAGCACTACAGAGTAGCAGGTTGCATAAAGCCTAGGTAATGCGGTTGCCCCTTTGCAGACCTGGCTTTTAGTATCTTGAAGCTGGATCCGCAAGTTGGGTATGAGCTCTGGAGTGCTCTCTATCCACAGCTGCAGGAGCTTGGCTCTTTTGGTGGGATGATGATGCTAAGCCTGATGTTTAACATCTGAAGTAGGTGGCTTGCGTGTGGCTTGGTTCCCTGTCTGCAAAATGGGGACAAAAGATAACCTTCCTATCACATGGGAAGAGAAATGCAAGCCAAACTTTGGGGTGTTCACACTACAGAAAGAGCAGGACACCTAAGATAGAGCTTGGTGGGCCCAGGCTGTTTTTGGTTGGAGGAGGTGACTCTGGCAGTTGTTGGAGATGGAATCTCAACTCCGTTGGCCAGGGCCCACAGCCTTCCTTTGACCTGGTCATCCCTGAAGTCCTGGCCTCAGTGTACACAGTCTGAGGTGTATTTACCTACAGGCCAACAGCCAAACCCTTGGCAACACCCTGGGATCAAAAAGGTAGACAGAGGCAGCTTCTGAGTGACTTCTGGAGCGGTTGATTTGAGGTGTGTTTGCTGTGGCTGGTGGCAGGAACCCGGATCACCCAGAGGCATGACCTGCTCTTCAGGAGTTCTGGGCAGCTATGGCTCCCGATAAGACCAAGTGGGAGCATACTGGGAGCTGTGGCCGCTCAGTCCCTTTGCTTAGGTGGAACTGCTGTGTAGTTTGGCACAGGCACAAGTTTAACGTGCTGTGTTGGCTGCATTCAGTGCCAGTGCCCGAGGCAACCTACAGAGGCTGAGGACTGCTTTTTATAAGCCTCGGCAGAATGCCCCAAGATGAGGGGCAAAAAGTTGTGTTTTTAATCTTAGCCCAAGGCAGCAGAAGGCCACAGAGCCACTCTGAAGTGCAGCTGTGTTGGGCATTGGAAGCTTTGCAGTTTGCCTGCTGGACGTGGTACACCGCACAGCAATGTCAGAGGGTCAAATTCCCTCTGGAGATATGAGGGCAATAGTCTGCTGCTTCCCAGGAAAGCATCAGACCTTTAGCTGCCGGTTAGACACGGCACTGTGTAGCCCTCTGTTCTATTTACCTTATAAAGAGCAGAAGCTGAATTTGCCCTGCTGGGAGTCAGAAGTGGTTCTTGGAGGGAGAGCAATGCACACCTTTTACATCAAAGGCTAAGAGGCTTTTCCTTGTGGGACGTTCCCTGATTTCGTCTGATGCCCAGACACCAGGGAGACTGTGCGCAGAAGCACAGGTTGCAGCAGTAGGGAAGGCCGCTGAGGATCTACCAGTGTCAATCCTTGGGTGCGGGTTGCTGTTTTCTTGGAGCACCACTGCATGACTGTCTTCCCAAGGAGAAAACCAGGAAAAATGTGTGGGGCTGTTTTGGGGCTGGGTAGCAGAAGTCTTGCCTAAAACCTCCAAGATGAGAGCGGCTCCAGAGTAGCAGGCAGCAAGCCTAAGGTTTTGTCTCAGCCATCTCCTTTTTCCACCAGCTGAATTGGTGATGTGACCTTTAAGCTCTCTCTTTGCAGATGTTTTTTGTTGTGATTTTTTGCGTCTATTCCTTGGTAGATGAGAACTTGGAAGAAAACGTTAGAGCTCGGCAAGCTGGAGGGCATGGGGGCTCTGTTTTCCATCCGCCTTCTCGGGTTCCTCCCTCGTCCCCTGATTCCCAAGCTGCTCACTGCAAGGATCTGGCTTCCTCTGTTTACCCAAAAGTGTGACACTGCCGTGCTCCGGTGTTTGTTCTATCCCTTCCAGCTCCTGATCCCTCTGAAATCCCAGGAAGATTTGGACAAAGCGATGGAACAGTTGGAGCTGAGCCCTTCCCTGAAGAGCCTGCGGATCCTTGTGAGCGCTCCAAAGAAAGCGAATGTGAGTCCTTCACCTTTTCTGCTCTTTTGTGTCTGGAGCGAGATGCCTTGTTATTGTGTTGGGGAGTGGAAACGAGCCTCCTGACGGCGCAGAGCAGAGGGCAAACTCGTCATGAAGGGGAGTCAGCCCTGCTCTGGCTCAGCTGCTGGGAAATCCTCCTGTGCTGGCGGCTCAGAGGCTAAGTTCAGCTTTCTCTAGCTCCTCCTGCAACCTGTGAAGGGTTAAATACTGTACTGATCCTCAGAGTTAAACCCCAAGAGGACCCCTTGTGCTTTCCACCTTAGGGATGCGGTCACTACTCCCCAGTAGCCTCTCCTCTGTGTACAGGGTGATGCCCTCACCCTTGCCATGCTGGCTGGCAGTGTGGGGACCGTTCCCTCCATGTGGTGCTGTGGTACTGAAGGCCAGGGAGAGCAAACTGGAGAATCCTTCAGACTCATGCAGGCCTGTCTTTTTTTCCCTGTTATTTATTTATTTGTTTTTCCTGAGCTCAGTGTTTTTGCAGTTAAGCCTGTTAGCTTGACCTTGCCTGCACAGAGTGTCTTGCCAAAGCACGTGTCGTGCTGCCCCAAGCACAGGCTGTAAAGCAAGGGATTTGCAGATGTTGCAATTCCATTTCTTACTTATATTTCCTAGAAGTACCAGAGAGCCTGGGAGTCTTGAAACTCATAGTGCTTGTCCTCATGCTACCGCTGGTCCTCATGGCTCCTGGAACTTCTCCATTCCTTTTGAGAGACCTTCCAGAGGTGCAGGGACCAGACTGTCAGGGGAAAACTGAGCCGTCACTCGAGGTTTCCAAAATTGTAGGCAGAAATGGAGCGATCTGCTGCATTAGCTGCAGGAACATTGCAGTACTGCAAGTTAACTGCTTACAGCAGAGCAGTCCGGTGGATTCATACATACCTTTGCGAGGAGGTGAAAATCTTCTGAAGCATGTAACCATGCAAGAACATAGGGTTCTGAGCTCATACATAAACTAGCACAAGGTCACAGTGCACTGGAGCGTGTTATCATAGTAGGACTTGGCCACTACCCTCTAAGTTACCTGCTGGATTGTAATTTCATTGCTTTCCTTGCTTTGTCTTTGGTAGCAGAGCCTGATCCTCCGCTCTGTGTTCCTCTGCCCTGTTGCAGAGGAACCTCTGCGGTGCCCAGGCTGCTCCTGAAGTCTAGGGAGTGTAAGTTTTTGGGCCTGCAAACTTGGGTTCAGGGCAGGGATCAGTCTGTCTGGAAATAATGCAGTGCAGGAACAGTCTTTTATGTCAAATATCTGTATTATCATTATCAACTGGAGCTCAAACTTACCTTATTGGAGTATTTTGATAACAGATGTGAATTGTTTGTGAATGATTTTTGGATCACCCTGGATTACATACTTATCTTTGGGGTTTTTTAATTGTTTTTGGGTAACACGGTCATGGGGAACCAAATACTGGGTTTTATGTGGTGCATCTGCAAGGGCTCTGACAGTCTGATCACTCCCTCTGCCCCATTACCAGCTCCTCCAGCCGAACAACAGTAAACAGCACGAAATGAGGATCTCCAGATCCATGGGTGATATCATGGGATCCCTCTACAAAGACTCAGAGAGGACGCGGAAGTATTCAACAGGTTGGTGCAATGCTCTGCAGGGTGTTTTGTGCATTACAAGCTGGCCACCATCCCCTTCCTCTTTCCTGTCACACCCCTGTAGCTGCCACTCTGGACCCTGATGTCTCCCACTGGTAGTTCAGTGCAGTTGCTGCTTGTCCTTGGCCTGAGGGAGAGACTCTGCAAGCTGCACACGTCGGATGAGGTTGTACTGAGCAGAGTCATGTTGGGCATGAAAGCTGGGAAGAGCAGGGGATCTCAGCAAAGAGTGAGGATCTGTAGAAAGCCAAGGCTTTTTGAGACCTTGGCATCCCTATTCCTTTAACCATCTGCTGCTGTTTTCTCGGCATCTCTCCCCCTTTCCCAGATAGAATAATGTAGCTGAATGGGCTTGGGTTCCCTAGCTCCTGAGCTGGGACCAGCTTCACCACATAAGGACCAAATATATGTCTCTGTGCCACCAATCTGTTCCTGTTGGTGAAATGAAGTCTGGGGGATTTGCCTTCGGGATTTTTCAAGAGAAGGGGTGTGCACAGTGTTTGGCAGTGGTCGAACTTCAGATGAAGGGGGGGCATCCCTTTCCTTTGGGGATCCCCCCTGCAGGGATTGGAGTTTGTTCGTAGCCTTGTGTGGAGTTTTCCTTGGTTTTCTGTGCTTGAGTTTATGCTTTTTTGAGGTTTTTGAAATTACAGGTGCCTTTGATAAGTCGTCTGTAGGACCTTCTGTGTGAAGAACCTTGCAGGGTTTTGTAGAGAGCAGGGTGCCTTGTGCAGAACTGGTAAAGCAGCCCATAGGACTGTAAGCAGGGGTATAATTAGGTTACACACCATAGGCAGGGTTAATGATCTTGCTCTACAGTGAATGTTCTGCGCCATGTCTTGGAGTGATGGTTACAGGGTAATCTCTACAGATCTCTATGGTTTTCATACAATTGCTCAACAGCTGTAGAAATGACAGCAGTCAGAGGCTTATACAAATATATGTGAAGATATACTTCATCTTCCGAAGATCCTCTGGACTTATATGGCAGTAAACTTCCAAACTCTTCTCTCTGTGCAACAACAGAGTATTTTTCTGCAAGGATTTGCCCTTTCTCTGTCTCATTGCCTGTGCTGCCTGGATAACACATCCTGTGGTTTGCTGCATCTCAGGCAAGTGATAAGTAGGAAATCTTGTAGATTGGGTCCAATGTAGGCTCTTGGGCAGCCATGCCCAACCCTCGCTGTAGCCAGGGGTGGGTGCTACATGTACAAGAGCTCTCCTTGGCTGTGGTGTTTGCATGTGCCAAACATGTCTTTTTCTATTGTAGGGTGTTTTTGTCTAGCTCACATGGCTCTTGAAAGTTTTCCCAGAGTCTGGCAAAGTCACTAGATGACTCTGAATGAAGTGCACACACAAATGCATGGTAAGGCACAGAGCCTCAGCAGAAGGCTTGAGCAGAACATCTCTGCATCTCTTTTCTTGGCACTTGTTAAGCTGTTCATGTAAGCCAGCGAAGAGCAGTGGCACAGGGAGCTGTCACGGATGCGTGAACTGAATGGGAGTGGCAGAATTGATCCCATGTGTAGGTGCTAGCAAGATGAATTCTTGCAAAGTTAGACTTTACTACTAACTTTCATGCTGTGTTTCGACCTTTTCTTACTGTTTTGGAGCTGCTGCAATACCAAGAGTCCTCGACCAGGTCTGCAGCACTGACTGTGAGGTGCCTTAAAGGGCATCCTGTAGGAAAGACAAGGCAAGCAAAGGAAGAGATATCAGCTTTCCAAGGGTGAGAGCCTGAGGTACAGATGGATTTTGAGGGAATGTCTGAATAGCAGAGTGGAGGAATGGATGTGACATGCTGGTTTAATCTAGGTAATAGAGGAGGAGTGGGCAGCACCAGATTTAGGCTGCAGAGTATTGGGATCTTCATGTACCAAAACCAGTGTCCTTGGTGCTGTTACATAGTTAGGGAGCAAAGGTAACCAGCCCCTTCACAGTCTTGCTCTTCGTTTGAGAAGAGGTTGCAACAAACCCTGGGAATGGTAACAGCACATCAGACCTCTCTCTTCAGAGTTACCAGGGGTCTGTAGGAAGCTGCTACAGCCCTGCTTAGGAGGTGTTTGCAGTCCAGAAGAATCTTTTTTTTTTTGGCCTCCTGTGTCAGAATTGGGCAATCTAGCAGCTGGTCAGAAACTCCGGTGAGCTGAAAGGGCGAGCGGCGTTTCAAACGGAGCATAAAACCGAACGTCAAGCAGTGGACAGAGATGATCCAGCATCGCAGTTCCCTGAACCGGGGATTTTACTCAACTTGGTGGACAGTCAAAAGGCAGCCAAAGGCTGGGATTTCTGTAGGAGAAGTTTTTCTTCACTCGCAGTTGCAAGGTATTTCACAGTGTTTGCTTTGGCTGTCATCAAAGTGGTTGCTATCAAGAGAGGATCTTAACTCAGTTCAGCTTTTCTCTCGAAATCACATTTAAAAGGAGATTTAAAGTGATTTTATAAAAGAAAAAGGTGGTTCAGGGTCATGTTCTCAGTGTTTCTGAGCTGTCTCATGTTTTTCTGCTGACTCTGCCATGTTAGCAGCAGCGAGAAATAATAAAACTGCATGTTGTTGGCACAAGCACATTGGAAGGGGGGGCAGATGTTCTGGGGAAGATTTGGCTATTTTTGCTTCTGCTGGACGGAAAATATCTTTATTCCATGTCCCTGAAAAACCTTACACAAAGTCAATATTTTCTTTATTTTCCCAAAAACTTTTTCAGTGGAAATCCCCCCCATCCTCACACCTTTTTTGGGGCGGAGATGGGGGAAGAGGGGGAAGTGGAAAACATTCTTGGTGATCAGTATCTACAAGTGTTCATTTGAGTGCCAGGAAACTTTGCCTAAAATCTATTTGTATTCTGGATTTTCAGATAACTAAGGGTTGTTTTTATTTACTTCGAGGAAATACGTTTCAGAACATTATCCACAAATTACTAAAGAGCCCCATTCCAGAATAACCATTTCAGTGGAAACATTTGCCAAAAGCTTTATTTTATTTTAGTTTATTTTAATTTTTCTTTTCCATGGTGGCAAACCAGGCTGCTGAGCCGTGGCATCATGTGCCTGCCAGCCCTCTCCAGACCAGGAGCGAATGCTGGCTGTGTCTGTGCTGTCGAATATGGATCGGCCACGGGAACAGCGGGATTTTTGCCTCGGAGAGTTGCTACTGCAGCGATGGTACCCAAGATTTCACAGTGCCTGGACATGTGTGCAGCAGCACGTAACCCTTACTAGCACGCTGGGAGGATTTGAATGCACATCTCTGGAGCAGGATGGTACACAGACTGTGCTGGTGCACAGGCTGGCCAGGTGACCCTCAGAAACAACGGCCTGGAGGTGATATCTGTGCCCTTAAATTCACAGGGCCAGGATATGAGCCCTGGCTGGCCAGTGATGGGCTTGCTGAATCATTAGCATGTTGCCTGGCCAACTTTGTACCAATGACTGCCATCCCAGCAGTGCCCAGGTACAAACTGGGGTGGCATGAGCTACGGACCTGTCGCAGGAGCTGGGATGGATGAGACCCCTCTGTTTTGAGAAGGGGGGAGAATTTGGTGATGTGCATCATGCCAGCTGCTTTAGGGCTAGAAAATGGGCTCTGTCCTGCTTATTAGTACAGAAGTGCCCTAAAGTTTCGCCTGAAATCAGGGTGTAGGAATCCATCCTCAGGGGATCAGCGTGGAGAGGAGGGAGACTTGTAGGGGTCCTACTGAAAAAGAAGAAACTGAGGGGAATTTGGACCATCTGTTCACACCTCCCTTCAACAGTCACAGAGTGAGAAATTTCCTGCAGGTTTCCCTCTTCTCGTGTACCGCTGCGTCCTGAGCCCTGTGTCTCTGCCAGGGCTCGGAGGAACGGCACATCTCTGTGTCATGTCCCTCGCTCAGCTCGGCAGCGACGTCATCCCAGGGCTGGGCTCTCCGTGGCTGCAGCTGTGAGCGTAGGCAGCTGCCAACAAACCCTCCCCAGCTCTGACTTTTGAGGGGCTTCTGTTCTCCATCAGAGCCCCTGCTTGAGGCTGATTAGTGGTGGATGAAGTTTAGGGAAGGACCTGTCAGGGCAGGGAAAGGGTGAAGCCAGGGAACGCGGAGGGGAGGGAAGCCAAGCCTGGCACAGGGCGCTGGCCGTATGTGCAGCACCACGAACTCTGCACATACTGCATGAAAGACACTACTTAAATAAAAATAACAGAAGGGAACATGAAAGACCCCAGCAGATGCCAGCAGTCTCCGTGCTGGCCTGGTTCACCCTGCTCGGGACATGCTGTGCTCGGCTCTCAAACATACGGCTTTACATTAGTGCCTGTAACATGGAGCAGGAATCCCTTCCCAAAGCACCTTGCTCCAAAGGGTAACTGAGGTCAGGTGCTCAACTGGTGCCAATCTGCAGAGTTTCTCTGAATTCAGGGATCCTGAATAGAGCTGCTGAGGTCCAACCAGCATGCGACATTCCTCAGAGCCTGCCCCATCCCCATGGGTCTGAGGACTGGAGCAGACATGTGATCCTGTAGACCCTGGAGGACAGTCCCTTGGGGGTCTCCTCTCTCTGCCCGGTGCTGCTGCTGTTTCTTGAGTGGTAGAAGTGTGAAGAGCATCTGTGGTGTGTCATCAGGCACATCTTCCTCTGCCTCTGGATGGATAAAGCAGCATTATCCAATATATCCAATATGACTTGTGTTGCCCCCACTATGAATTAAGCCTGCCATTGAGTACCACAGTTGCTCCCTCTTCCTGACACCTATTTTCCATTCCCTCCCCCAGTCTGAGGTTGCCTGAGGTTTTTTTAACAGGGCAGGATAGGGCTGGAGGGAGGAATCAACTTTGGGCTCTGGGGCTCCTGCCCTGTGTTCCTCATGGGCGGACGGGCATGCATGGATACGAAGCAGCAGCAACCAGTGCTCCTGGAGGTGTGAAGCTGCATAAATTACTTTGAGCAGCTCTTCTACCCAAACAGCCTGGCTGAAAGGGAACTGGTTCAATCCAGCAGTTTCCAGGCATGCAGAAGCCTGAGCGTTTTGTTTAACTTCCTTGCCTGCTGGGAAATGGCTAATGTCTTATCCCCTTTTACAGTCTTTGGCAGGAAATGTGACACTGGGAGGTCAACACAACTGACCTGATGCCTGGGAGTAGTTGTTAGAGGCAGAGGCTTAATGTGAGATCATGCAAAGTATTTACGCTTGTGATGAATCTCATTTAACTCCCTGGGTTCAAAATCAAACAGGCATATACAGCTCGTTATAAAATCTGAGCTAAAGACTTCCTGGGCAGTGGGTGGGTTGTTGCAGCGAGAAATCCCAGCGCCGCACGAGCAGAACCACACTTCTTAGCAGCAGTAACAGAAACGCTCGACAGGGCTAAGATACAGCGGTTACACCACGTCGAAACCTCTAGCAGCTTTTTGGAGCAAGAGCCACCCAAATGTCCTCACGCTGTGTTCTGGGTTGACATCTGCTCAGCAAACAAGGGGATGATAACGCAGTGATGTATCCGGCGTGCCCTAACTGCTAAACGGTTAAACATTTGTTTATTTATCTTCAAAGAGAGGATGCTGTACTTCCCAACTGGTTTTGTTTTTAGGGCTGGTGGAAAGCCAGTTCATTGAGAGCTGCAGCACTTGAGAGATTCTCTCCCCTTGATCTTGGCGTTACTTCAGTTGGACTTTTTTTGCTGTGCTGTTGTCATGCAGGAAATCTGTGAAGGAGAAAATAGGAAGAAGAAAAAAAGTAACTCAAAGCCATATGACTTTTATTTTTATAATCCAGGCAAGGAGTCTGGAGGGAGACATACCATGGGACAGCGATATCGATGTATTTGGTACAAATCCAAGCCTGATTTAGTGATTTTTAGAGCTGGTGTGACACTGTTAACATGAGAAGCTCCTGATGTGTATCAGCTGAAGTGAAAGGTGGGGACTGGGACTTGAGGCATTGATCACACTGATGGATTTATGCCAGAGATCAATCTGGCACAGTAACTGTGATGTGGAAAAGCAGCAGAAGAAGCAGAAGTGTTGTGTTGATGGATCGGTGTTCACTTTTCACAGTGGGATAGGCCCCTTCCCAGTACTTTTGCAGTATTGTGCCAACCCTGGGCATGTTGTTACCAAATGGTAGCGACGAACCCAAGAGTTGGCGAGAGTGCCACAAAAGTGGGTAAGCGTAAGGAAGCACATCTCCATCTGCTTTCTAACTGTGCAAGGATGTGCGCTTTCTAGAAGCCTGCTTAAAAACAAGTTGTTGTGTTGTGTGTGAAGGCTCACGTTGCGCGTTGCCAACCAGTTAAATCTCCAGCATGGACCTCCGTCAGCAAATCCTTGCAGTGAAGTCATGACAGCCTGGGGATGGAGGGGAGGGACTGCAGGATAACAAGCGGAGCCAAGCCTGTGTATCTGGGCCAAGTGAAGGCAACGGTCTCAGTATCCTGAAAAGGCATAAGGAATTAGGGTGGATTTAGGGAAATAATGGGGAGAAACAGGCCGTTGACATAAAGCAAGCTGTGGAGTTCTCTTCTAGGTGCAAAATAGAAAACCCCCTTTGCTAAACAGACCTGGTGGGGTCCGGGAAAGCCCTGCTCCCTGTGCTGAGGTGTGTGTTGTACACTGAAAAGCCCCAGGGGTTTCCAGGTGGCTCTGCTGGGTGTGGGGGCTATGCTAGCAGCTGGTGAAGAGCCTTTGGGGCTACAGACAGGGAAATAACCCTCCTTTGCCAGGAGATGGGGTGAGTGAACTCTGTAGGTCTTTCCCCTCCCCGTGATTCTTGGATTTGAGGGCTGATTTTCCTTCCTCTTTGCTTTACTTCCCTTTTAGGGAAGGGGGAGAGAGGAGGGATATTTGGGTGCAAATTGCTTTCCATCTAAGTGTTTAAGTGATGTTGCACCATGTTTCTCCGGGCTCTTTCCCAGATCGCTGAATCCAGGGAGGAAATGCCCAGAGGTCAAAGAGGGGAGGTGGGTTTGGACGTTTGGGCTTTGCTCTGAGATTGCTTGAATGTATTGCAATAAAACTCTGGAGTCCTTTTCTTTTTGGTGTTGACAGAGCGCCTGGATAGAGTGCAGCTCTTAAGATCCAGGGTAGGTTGAAGGCCAAGTCTGCTAGATGTTGTGTAGCCCCACAGTAAGAAACTGTCCCTGTTGTAAAAGCTTTTTAGAATGCCCTAAACAGTATCACATCCATAGCTCCTCTTTCTCCTTCCACAAAAGTTCAAACCCAACAGCATCTCCAGGATCACTGGAACAGTGTCTCTGGAAGGACTTGGATGTGGCAAGCCCTCTCCTTGACCCATGCCTCTCCCATGTCCTAGGCTCTCTGCACACTGGCCGGAGCTCTCCACCCCCGGGGAGCGTTCCTGAAGAGCAGCAGCAGATTGCTCGCCAGGGATCCTATACCAGCATCAACAGCGAGGGCGAATTCATCCCCGAGACCATGGATCAGAACGTAAGTGGGTACAGGGCATGTGGGTTAAGCCGGGGCAGCATCAGGCTCAAGGGAGGCTGCGCTGTGAGCACCATTCCCACCATTAAGTCCCAGTGGACCCTGCATGTGGAGCTCAGGCCAGCTTTTTCCAGGAATGGGTGCCCAGGGGCTTGACATGCTCATGAAACAGGCCTGATTTCCAGGAACCCTGAAAGCCAGTTGCAGTGGTGATGGCAACGTGCTCAGGCACCTCAGGTATCTGCGGAGGAGCGTATATCTGGCACACACATGCACGCCAGCTGCCAGGCCCTCGTGGCTGCAGCATTCCCCAATCCCAGGGACCACGAAGGAGTGTGCCAAGCAACCGATTGCCTGCGATTGCAACAGCCTGGGGATGTCAGCAGCTCTCGCTGCTTCCCATGAGCTGTTTCTGCCTGAGCTCCTTCTACAGTTCTTGGCTCTGCCCGCAGCCTCTCTCTGTGGTTTTGTTTCTCCATTCCTCTTAATAAGGGATTTGTATATTCCAGTCCCTCAGTACTGAAAGAGCAACTAGTTCTTCAGTGCAGTGATGAGCAGTACCTCTTCCTCCAGTCAATTCAGTACCCACGATGGGGGGAAACTGAAGTGTCAAGGGACCAAAGCGGGAGCAGTTTACACCTCCCTTGCCATTGGTATCTCTGCTCAAGTTATAGCTCCAAAGAGTTTCGTATAGGACCTGTGAAGTCAGCTGGGCTAACTGGGCACACAGTTCATTCTTGCAAAGCTCTTGGAAGGGCAGGACCAGGATGCACAATTGACAGGAGAGCTGGCCATGCAGGGCCATCTGGAAGGCACTAAGCTCGCTCCAGCATGGTGCTGTGACAGCCCCAAGGGTCTTGCCTAGGGAGATGTGCGTTTTCTACGCTCGTAGCACCCACTAGCTCCACTTCCGTGTGCAGGCTGTGCAATGTTTCCATGGCAAAGTTGTGTTTTCAACAGTTTATTATACATCCATTAATAAAATAAGAAGTCACTCCGGCTGAGTCTTGGCAGTGTCAGAGCACAGATGTATCTTGTGCTCCTCGCAGCCAAAAGCTGGCTTTCTATTGTTTTCACGTGCCTTCCAAACACACTTGGTAGGGTTAAGATAAAGTGTGTGTGTGCATGCAGGGGGAGGGTACCCATGAACCCCCCTTGGGTGTAAATCAGCCCAGCTCCTCTGGCTGTTAATGGTGCTTGGCTAGCGTCAGCTGAGCTCTGAGCCTCCTCCTGACGAAGGTTCCCAGATGCTCTCCTTGCTTTTCCCCAGCATCACGCTGTGGGTGGTCTGCTGCCCTTCTCTGGTCACTTAAATGCAGGAAAAAGAGGATTTGGGGATTTTTTTTTTTTTTTTTCCTTTCCCCTCTTCTCCTTGAACAGCCATGCTTTTCCCCATCTGGGCTTTGCCCTCAGAATGTCCTCATGCTGCAGCTTCCATATGTGCCTCGTGGAAAACCACTTGCAGGCTAGTGCTTGCTGCCTTTTGGGGAATGCCCCTGTGCAAGCCTGTGATGTAAGCGTGGCCTTTGCCTTGAGACCAGCTGAGCAGATGGACAGAGGTTGAGTAGGGAGCCTGCTTGGACTCCCAGTTCTGTGCTTTCGAGAAATGAAGTCATTTCATCATTCTTTTAACTGCAGGGAGAGACCTGGCATGGCTGGCAGAGGTGGGGAGTGGGCCTCGCAGGGATCTTGCTCCTCTTTGGCTCATGCATTTTGAAGGATTAAGGTTTTGGGGTAAGAACTGGGAAACAGAGAAAAATCTCACTTTCTAGTTGGGACTGTCCTGCCAAAACAATAGGAACTGTTATGACAACCGGTTGAGGAGGTCTAACACAGGAACAGCACATGGAAAGGGAGGCTGTTCCTGTAAGCAGGGAAGGAGGAGCGACGTGGGTCTGGGAGCCAGCAAAGGGTGACTCCACGTGGTGTTTAACCCTTGTTGCTCAGCTTTCCTGGGAGTGAGCTGGGCATTGGGCTGGCTTTGGGGTAGGAGATTGTCAACAGCGGGTCTGCAGCCAGGAGGAAGCATCATAACGACTGCAGCGTGGCATGGCCCTGAGCGAGGTCTGCTCAGCGTAGAAGTGCGAATCGCCCCTAGGTTTGCCACTCAGTACAAAGCCTCTGTTGTTACTAAGCAGCTATAAATAACCCCATCCAGTACAATGTCTCATCCAGGAAGCAACACAAATGCAGCTTTTGGCTCACTGAGGTAGTGAGAGCCAAGCCAGTTCCTCCAGCCAAAAGTCCCAGGGATGCGTCGCTTATCACTGGAGAGGAAGGCTGGTCTCATGTGCCAGGGCAGCTTGGGGAAGTCAGGACTCCAGGGCTGTGATCCCAGCCATGGTGCACAATGTCCACTCGGCCTTGGGCACATCATTTGTGTCCTGACATATTTTTTTTTATTATTATTACTATCATTTTTTCCATAAATACTTGGAGAATTTTTGAATCTCATTGACTTCTCAGCATGGTTTGGATATCAGGGTGCTAATTATCTTTGCCTCAGTTTCCCTACCAGCAAATAGAAGTTGGAAAGAACAATAATTCAGAGGGGGCATCATGAATGGATTTTCACTGGGAAAAAACTTGTGTTAGGTTGGATCTCACCTCTGCTGGGGCTGACATCAGCTGGTGTAAATCAGTTGGCTTGGGTAGAGCTTTGTTGACCATGTGGAGGTCTGCTAGTACCAAAGCTAGAAGAGTTTTGGTGCGTGGGTTTTATTGTTTCCCTTTTTCTTTCACTGTCAGATGCTTGAAGCTTTCATCAGCCCCGACGAGTCGCTGTCTGGGAGCTGCCAGTCGCTGGACAGATCTGTGGACAGGTGAGTTGTGCACGTCACCATGTTTGCAAGCTGAAACGCAGCCTCTGCTCCATAGCAGGAGAGAAGCGGGGTCAGTGGCGTCCTCTGAGGTTCCTGTTGGGATGAGGATGCACCTGAGAAAAACAAATCTATCCTGAATGCTGAAAACCAGATCCTAGCACAGACATCTGTACTATGGTATAATTTGAATTGCAGTGATCTGAGCTGGACAAAAAAGCTGGGGATCTGTGGGCGGCCTGGCTTTGTGTGCCCAGGTTTTCGGTTTTGGTCAGGTCCCTCTCCTCTGGCCTTTCTGCAGTCACTGGGTCAATATTCCGTTAGCCTCTCCGTGCCTCCTCTTCCCGCGGTGTGCTGTCCGATTGCCACTGACTGACCGCTTGTGAATTCAGCAGCCCCTGTGCACTGCCAGCAGCCACAGACGTGTCAGTCAAGGTGCTGAGGACACCAGACGAGCAACAGCTAAGTTTAGCTCCTCAGCAGGAAGCAACTAGGACACGTTGTACTAACACGGGCCGCAGTTCAATAGCTGGTGTGGCTGGTTGGTCCAAGCTCACACGTGCACAGCAACTGTATGTTGCTGCTGTGCGCAGTAGGCTGCGTGTAAGACACGGTGTCCTTTTGGGAAGCGATATATATTACTTTTCCATCCGCATCAAAGGTTTTTCTTTTTTTTTTCCCCCGTTGCTTTTGCCATACTGCATCAAGGCTGTGTTCCAGCAGGTCTGCGTTGTGCTGATTTGATTGTGTAGCGTGCTTCAGGTTTGCAGCTCTGCGCTTTGGATCTGTCTCAGCATCAAGGTCCATTTCCTTTTTGTGGCTTTTAATAATTTCCTGTGATGTATTTGCTCATTGTTACCGCTGTATTGAAGCTGGATTCCCTGTGCTCCCAGCCTCAATGCCCCAGCTTCTCTTTTGCACAGGCTTTACTAGGAGGAACAACAAAGGGGCATGGCCTGGTTATAACGCTTTATTGTGAACCACACGAAGAGCATTAGGCTGGTTTGTGAGAGAGTGGTGTGGCTTGGTTTCACGCACAGAGAAGCAGGCAGCTGTTTTCAGTCACGGGGTCTAGGAGCTGGAAGAGGCACGAGGAGGGCTATATTGAAAGGCAGAAAGAGGAGTATGACTGTTCCTGCAAAGACGTAGCTGAGCCCTTGCTGCCGGTTGCTTGAGATGGCATTAGCCTCAAGAGGGCAGAGCTAGTCACCAGGCATGGTGAGCAGCCTGATGCTAAGAGGTAACATGGCAAATTCCTCTGCGTCACAGCAAACCTGTTGTGATCAACTTTAATATGAGGAGATTTCAGAGCACCTTACAAAGCAGATTTCCTACTACTATGCCCATTTTCTTAAAAGGGAGAGTGGAAAAGCAACCCGTCCAGATCACCCTGTTGGCCCTTGCAGAGGCTGGGGTCAGATCAGGATTGCTGAGATCCTCTTGCAGTGCTTTATCATCCTCTCAGTGTAGTTTCAAGACCTTGAGCCTTGAAGTGCCCATCCCTCACTCTTCCCTCCTGGTCTCCTGGGGAGGTGTGTGTGCCAGTGGTGGTACGGACCCTCCTGCACGAGGAAGATCGGGATGAGGTTGCAGAGAAGGGGAGACCTGTATGAATTAAGGGTGACTGAAGGACTCCAGTGTGTACATCTGCAGCAGCTCAGCACTGCTCACAAAACACAGAGTTGCATTCCCCTTGACATCAAGGGAAGAGCAATCTGCAGCCCTCCTTCTGTGCCATCTTGTGCACAGGTGCTTGGCTGCTTCGTTTCAGCCTGGCGACTGTGTTTTCTGTAGCATCGTCATTGTTTGCCACAGGATCAAGCTGTGAGCCAGCAAAAAACAGTCTTCATTCTTGTGCAGGTTGAGGATGGGATCTCAGCTGGGTGGACTGGGCTGCACAGTGATCAGTGTGTCTTGTGATACAGCCTGTCCGTTCTGCATGTAATCACTTCCTAAGTCATTCCACAGCCTTTTTGATATAGTAAAATGTATCCTTTTTGTTCTTTCCATCCACTGCAGCCCTCCCTTTACCCAAACCCCTGTTCCTGGAAGGAAGAGCCATCCCAAAGACAGTCTCGATTGCATGGGTAAGCGCTCTTAAAGGTTTGTATTTGCTTAAAAGTATAAAAAACATGTAGTAAAGAAACTGGATAAAGGCCATTAGAGGGGTGGCACTGCATGAGAAGTAATTAAAAACAATCAAGCAAACCAGCGCCATTGCTTAGCTTACCCTTCAAAAACGACCCTGCAATGATCAAACACGAATGTTCTCTAAAATCAGAGGAGCATCAAACACAGGTAGTGCTGCTCTTGTCATCGTCAACCCTTCTTGGCTCTGCAGCAATAGTGGTAGCACTGAAGAACCGGGTTTGGGAATCAGTTTACAGCAACAACAGTCCAAACTGGGTAACGAGGGTGCTGGAGTAAATGGATGAAAGCAAATAAAGCTGTTGAAAGATGAGACTTGAGCTCTGTGTTGGAAGAAGGTGCTGAGGGGGGTATTTGGAGACCACTGTGAGTTACTGAGAAGCTGGAAACAACCTTGTGGCATCACCTTTTATTTCTGTTAGTTACTGTGAGTTGCACTCTTAAGGATCCTGAGTTTCTGCCTAGCAAAACCTGAGTCCCAAACTCTCCAGGGAGTTACACTTCTTCTATTTACACTAATAATAATCTGTAATGCTGCAAATGCTGTTAGGGAGAGTGTATTGGTAACTTGCAAGGATCATAGGTTGCTGCTTAATCGCTTATAAACATCCAGCTGGTTAAGTCATGGAAACTCTGTAATGCTGTAATGACTTTCCCTATCAAAAATGAACAAATGGCAGCCAGCCTGTGGCATGATAACTCATTTCTGGCCCGAGGCAGGATTTCTCGATTGAACCATAGAGATGAAGCTGCAGTCGGGCCACGTTGCTGAAGGTTTTAATACCTCCGTGGTGGTAGGGGAGGCATTTTGCTTTGACACTGCTCGGCATCGGGCGCTCACGCGTGGCGCGCTGAGAACCGCTTGACCTGTCCCTGTTGCTTTTCTTGCTGACCATATTTCAGCCATTATGCACTCCTCTCGCACGCTGCTGTAATGGGGAAATCATGCTGAAGCCCGGCCGAGGCCAGGAATGGTCTCTGAGGAGCGGCTGCTGGCCCCAGGCTAAGACAAACAAACAATCAGAACAGACTGTGTCATTAGAGTTGGATGGAGGAAAAACAGGAGGTGAAAGATGGACGTAAATGACAGATATTTTAATCTTAAGTTATTCAGTGCTACCAGCAATGGCTTCCTGTGCTGCGTTTTTCTGTTAAAAAGTATGTCGTTATCTCACATGTCCACCCATCTCTCTCATAATCTGGTGTGTAATACGAACTCTGATGGTCTTCAGTCTCTTCTGTATCTATCTTTCTAGCATTTAATCAAAGTAAATATACAACTTTGGAGCTCTGGAGGTATAAATTGGTCTCTGGCTCTTTCAGAGGTCAGGAGTCACATCTGAGAAGAAAAAGGGGAGGAATTGTGCTGTGAGCCAAGTGCTGGATTTTTGCATTTCGCTGGAAATAGCTGATATCGGAGCAGAGGTTTTGGAGTAGATGGATCTGGGCCTCACCCTGCCTGGCAGTTCTGTTTCCACGCTAGCTTTTGTGTTTCTCACATGCAAATAATATGTTTAGTGCTCTGTTTTGGAAACCAGGCATGGTGGATGTTAATCCCCTGCCTTGCATTTGAACAGTGTGGGCCAGGGTCCATAAAGTCAGTGGTTAAACCTCTGTTTGCTTTAGGGGGACCAAGGCCAGTGTATATAACCCTTATTTTCCATGAAGGAGTGTGTGACTGCGGACAGATTTCAGGGTGAGCCTTGGGGAATGTCTGCTCACGTAAATGAACAGCTTGTTACCTCGTTCTTGCCTGTAATTCAGCGTGAAGACCAGACCTTTCCCATAAGAAACACTCTGGGTGTTTGATACTGAGCTGATCTTAGAAACGCCTCTCTCCTTCCCTCCTGACAGATTTCGACATCCCATTCTGCGAGAGGTTTGGGAAAGGCGGGACCTTCCCGAGGCAGTACCACCTCTCCCAAAGTCGCAAGGACTACAGCGACGGTAAGAAAATGATGGAGGGTCTGGGAGAGAGATGCTTGGTCCAGGATCTCGGGGGCTGTGATAGTGCCTAGGACTGGGGAGACTTGGGAAGGAGAGGTTTCTAATAAAGAGAGAACCACCAAGTAATTTGGGATTTGCTTGTGTATTCTGAAGAGGATCCTCTGAGACCTTGCGGGTCTGCTCTGGGGAAGTGCTGAAGCACGTGTGAAAGTGCTCAGCTCCTCCTCTGCTCACGCCTGCTGTTTCAACTTAGCCACGTGCATGGGTGGCATTTCTCACCCCTGGCAGTATCAATCTTTCTGTTCCCCTAAATTGCGTACTTTTGAGGATGCTGGTTTGTGACCTTTACAGCAGGTTCCTCAGAGCTGTACAAAATCCCCAAACAGGGTCAGGGTAGCAGTATCTGTTGGTTTAAGCTGCTGAGCTCTGAGCTTTGTGGACCACTCCATCACCTCATTGCTGCTCCTTCTTTCACTGTGTGAGGCTGCAAGTGGTGGGAGGCAAAACTGAGTAACAATCAAATTCCCTTAGAAAACAATACTGAGGATACGCAGACAGCATATTGAGCCTTCCTGAATGAACTTCACCTCTCACTGACACCACCTTTGTACAAGCAGTTATCTCGAGATCTGGCATTGCTTGTCTGGTCATTTGTATCGTGGTCTTAAGGGATGGTAGGAATAATCACCATGGAAAGGGTGGTGAGGCACTGGAACAGGTTGCCCAGAGAAGCTGTGGATGCCCCATCCCTGGAAGTGTTCAAGGCCAGGCTGGATGAGGCTTGGAGCAACCTGGTCTAGTGGAAGGTGTCCCTGCCCATGGCAGGGGGGTTGGAACTGGATGATCTTTAATATTCCTTCGAACCCAAACCATCCTGTGATTCTATGATCCTAATTTGTAGTGTAAACCCCTGCCTGTTCAGAGTTTAACTGTGGTTAACAACCAACAAAAACGCTAATGTAATTAGATTGTTGCAGCCTGCTCTGGAAACAGGCTGCATCAGATGTAATGCCTGCAGTTAACAACTCTTAAACTGAATTAAAAATGTTCACAGGGCTTTGCTTCAGTTGCAAAAAACCTGTTTGAATTTGAAGAGGTTCCTCACTGGATCTGGGCAGCCACGTGAGAAGGTAGATTCAAACTGGTGTGTGCGTTCTTGCCCTAACTCTCCCCCTTCTCTCCTGCAGGCCGGAGGACTTTCCCCAGGAGTTACTTCCCACAGGAGAACCTGTTTCAGCTTGTCCCTTCTAGCCGAACCAAGAGCTTTAATGGGGACAGCAAGCTCAGCACCTTGCAGTATGACGAGTACAGGCCCAAATGGTGGAACAATTGTGAAAAAGGTCTGCAGGTCTTCAGCACCTCCCCCACGAAAGCAAGGAACTGTAAGTGAATCAAAGCCGCTAGTGGCTGAGGTCTCAGCACATCTGGGTCTCGACCCTAAATTGAGTTACCGGGCACCAGCTAAGCTAACCCCGCTCTGATTCCATCCCCAGCGCGAGGCACGCTGCGCTAGCTTATGTCTCGGTGGGGAAGATGTAATGCAACATGCTGTCTCTTACCTTGGCCTGAGTTTGAAGGCGCGGATGGGGTCAGCTGGTGTTCATCATCTGCTGAGTTGCAGAAAATGGCTTGTGTGTTGGACTGGCGGCGTGCTTGCACCGCAGAAGCTTCCAGGAGACTAGGGTTGCGGAAGCAAATGGGTCCAGGGGTGTTGGACACTGCTCTGCTCTTGCAAGAAGGCCCATGCTATAGAAATGGGTGTATTCTGTGCCTGTGCAGTGATGGAAATGACTAGTGAAATAAAACTTTTTGCTGGCCACTGCCTGGGTTGCTGCTCAGCCGTGCTGTGTCCTGCTAACCACCCCCATAGCAGAGGAAAGAAAGTGTTAGCCGAGAAAGCAGTTTCTAGAGGAAGAACTCTAAAGAAACGTCACTTTTCTGGGACTTGTTTCTGCTTTGTACTAATGCAGACTGGGAGACATCCCATACACAGACACCGGTGCACTCATGCAGTGAAAATTGTTTTGTCATGGTGCCCCTGGGAGAGGGTGGCTCACTGCCTGCCTTGGTGAGCTCATTGCAAGCCTGATCTGCGCTCTGGAGGGTCAGGTGGATCCTGATGCTGAAGTCTCCCTGCGGTGCTCTTCTCTCAGCCCTCTCCTCTCTCCTGTAGCCCTACAGGCACCTGTGAACTGGAGGCTGGGGAAGCTGCTTGGAAGAGGAGCTTTTGGGGAAGTTTATCTCTGCTACGACGCTGACACTGGCCGAGAGCTGTCGGTGAAGCAGGTGCCTTTTGACCCCGACAGTCAAGAGACGAGTAAAGTGAGTATGAGAGCAGGACTGCATTTCACAGCACCCTGGGGGACTGTGGGCTGGAGGCTGAGGGCAGAGGTGGCAGAGAGGTCCGTGTTCCTGATGGAATGCAGTGTGTGGAGACGGAGCGTGGTGTTTGCCCTCTTCAGAGTGGCCCCCAATGGCTTGTGGCACCAGTCAGTGTGCTCTGGTGACCTCTCTACCTCCTAGTTCCTTGGTCATGTTGGCCTGCCCTGTCTCAGGTGTCATGTCTTGAAGGTCTGTCTGCTCTTCCTTAGTTTCAGCCTTGCACCGTTCGTCTTCTTCCCGCTCCGGGTGCTGCATTAGCTTTGCTGTGTCTTTATCCATACCCTTCTGAAAAAAAGTCGTTGAGCACAAGTAAATAAGTAAACCTGTCTCAAAGCCAAGCACTTGTGCATCCCATCTGTCTTTCTCCACACCTTTTTCTTAGGGCAGCACTCATTCCCGAGCCTGACGTCTTCGTGAGCAGCTTCCCTGGTGCTATGAAAAGAGCTTTCAGCATTGAGCAATATTTGGATAATAGTCCCATAGTAACCATTCCCTTTCATCATGAAGCCTGTCTGTTTTGTTGCAGGAGGTGAATGCCTTAGAATGTGAGATTCAGCTGTTGAAGACTCTCCGTCATGACAGGATAGTGCAGTACTATGGGTGCTTGCGGGATCCTGAGGAGAAGAAGCTGTCTATCTTTGTTGAATACATGCCAGGGGTAAGCGTGGTTCCTGCTAACGATTGTCCTGTGTGACAGAGGACAGATCTATACTGCTCTGGAGTTTGGTGACGTTTGTGTCTGGAGTTAAAACTGTTCAGCTGAGCTGCTCTAGATCTGATGAGCCAAAGCGAAACGGTGGACGCATCCCTAAGGCTTGGGAAAGCCTAGGTTGTGAGTCAGATGTCCTGGTGAAGCCCCTCAACAGGCACTGGGTGAAATCAAAAGCTTTGAAGGCAGGTTTTAGGTTTGAATCCTGGAGAAGGGTGTGTTCACAGTCTGGGATCTGAACTTGGTGAATGTGGGACATGATCCAGATCTGGCTCCAAACACTGTGGCCTGAGCCCATCCTTAAGTATTTATTGCAAATCCCTGAGGAAAAGCCAGTAGTACAACTGTCCACCCACAGCTGTCACCAATCATTTATGGCTTTCAGCACGTGTGTATTACAGGGTTACTCGCTTCTAAGTCTTCTCCTGTCCAGGACAGAACATTTTGTTGGTAGCATTATCTTTTTGTGCAGGAGTGGCTTCAGTTTGTGACTTTGCTGATGTAGGATGAAATAGCCCTCAGGAAAAAGAACGTCAGAAAGCTTTGAGAGAGCCTCAGCAGGGGCTGAGACTACACAGATTAGTTGAACATCTCTGTTTGTGAGCATGTGAATGACATCAACCATCTAGACAAAGTCATCGGTTGGTATAAACCAGCGTAACGTTAATTACGTTGCCGGAGGATCTGTTCCCTTAAGTCCCGCCTGTCCAGCTGGATTCATTCCCCAGAGTGTGGGAGAATAAACCCTTGTTTATACAGAGATTTGTAAGGTTAGAAGGGACTGTTAAGTCATCTGGTCACAAATAATTTTGGTCATGAGTAAACATGCTAGAACCTCTCCTAACGCATCTTGCACATGAGTGATCAGGTGGATTTCCACGCGTTTGAGTTCTTTCCAAGCCCTGTGCTCCCTCTCTCCCCATGGGCAGGCATCTCACTTTCAGGCCTTACCACGAGGCATGGACCCGGCAGAGTAAGCCCCTGGATTTCAGCAGTCCCCTTGCAGCTTACTCTGCAGCGTGCCAGTGTTTGTTAGCAGCCAGGAAACCAACATTTGATGCTGGGGCAGTGTCCAACAGGGCTGGAAGTGGAATGTTTGTTTTTTTTAATGATAAACCAGAGCTCTGACCAAATACAGATTGACTTTTGTGCTGCAACAATGGCTCATTTCACAAAAGCAGCTCCAGGCTTTGCTTTCCAAGGCCAGTGGAAGTGAATGAGTTCCCAAACCTTGCAGGACAGCTGCTCTACAATGCTGGGTCTGGCCAAGCTTCTGCCCTAACCCAGCCAGCTTGGCAAAATCTTCATGAGGCCAAGCTTGGGTGCACCATTAGCCTGGCGTTCTTATGACTGTCCCCCCTAAATAGCTGACTCTGTGTTTTCTGCCCTGCCCATAAACTATACTTTTGAATTTATGCTGGGAAAACAGAATGGAAGAAAACAGGCCTTGAAGACCCTGTTGTCCCTTCTTGTTCGATGTCCCCCCTGTCAGGGTGAGGGAGGCCAGGATAAGAAAGCTTGCTCGGTCATGTATGAGGGAACGTACCCTGCATAGGAGTTTTACAAGGGAGTCATTTCAGCAGCACTGTGAAAGGGAGGGTCCCATCCGCAGGATCACCACCAGCCTCCGAAGCGGGCCGGAACAGTAGCTGGGCAGAGCGATGGCGGAGGTGGGTGGCTGTGGAAAAGCTGATGGTTTGAGTGACCGACTTGGAGCAGAGCAGCCAACTGTTCCCAGGATAGGACTGTGGCAAACTCAGGTCAACCTCAGAGCTGCAGGGCAGGGAGAAACAGGATGAGTTTCCCTCCTGCCTTCCAGCTAACCTAAATACAGGAGGTAGAGCTGGGTATGACCTCTCTGAACCCCCAAATCTGCTGCGAGTTCATCCCTGCCAAAACCCAGCTCTGGCATAGTGAGGGACACCCACTTCCAGGTGGACAGAAAATACAGCTAAAATCAAGGTAAAACATCTTGCAGATGGTGGATGTCTGCACCCCTGATTCCTCTGATCAGTAAACCAGTAGGAGCCTGCACGCCTGGGTCAAATTCAAGTCCTTGCAAGTTGCCTATGCTGGGTTGTGCGGTTGAAGCAGTCCCGTGTGGGGCTGACCGTGTCCCTGATGACTCTGCCTGCCTCGTGGCAGCGGGTGCCCCTTGCTCTGAGAAGTTGGGGAGCGGGGGTCTTCATAGACTGATTCATCAGCTTGGCCCTGAAGAACTAGTTGAGTCGATCTTCTCACCTGAGTTGTGCTCCTCATCAGTTTGGTCCTTTTCCATGAGCTGTCCATGACGTCCAGCCACTAGAGGGGGAAAAAGGTCCGTAGTGTTGGAAGAAGGTGGCACGGATACGCACCAAGGACCATGCCTTTTTCTCCACTGGGACCTGTGACATCTAGGTCAAGTCTTCGCTCCATTCAGCACTTGGTGGATTGTTTTCTTGCTGTTTCTACAGCAGAGTAGTGTTTTTTTGAGCTGGAAGGTCTTTCCTGGTCAGGAAAGTTTGAAAAGGCACTGTGACATGATGGTTCTGCTGGTCCTTACGTGTTCTTTCTTTGCAACAGGGCTCAATAAAGGACCAGCTAAAAGCTTACGGTGCTCTGACCGAGAACGTCACACGGAAGTACACCAGGCAGATCCTGCAGGGAGTCTTCTACTTGCACAGCAATATGATTGTCCACAGGGACATTAAAGGTGATTAGATAATGCAGCCAAGCCTCTTGCTTGCTTGGATTTGTTCAACCCAATCTCTTCCCCCACCCCAGTATAAATTTTTGTGCAAAAGATAGTGCTGGGATCTGGGATTTAAGTATTTTTGCCCCTGGCCTTCACCAGCGTGAACCATGAGAACAGTGAACAAACAGCTGAAACCAAAATCTTGTGCTGTCTTCCTGCTTGGGAAGCCCAGATTAAGTACTGCTGAGAGGGTTTATGGTTAACTGCCCCTACACATCTAAAATCCTGGTGTAACATACCCAAGAATCGAGAGGCCCTGGCATTCGGAGAGATCTGAGGCTCTGTTCTGCTGTCTGGGGTGGATGGGGAGGGATGATCTGTCATCTCCCATGTAGTGCTCACTTTTGGGAAACCTGCTGAGGACATGCTGGTGGGAGTCAACCCTCTCAGCAACAGGTGCCTTAAGGGAGTGGGTTTTTGTGTAATGCTGAGTCCAGCCCCACCAAGGCCCTTTGGGATCCCTCATGTCCATCTCTTTGCCCGTGCCCTTCCTGCTATCCTCACTGTAGCCACTTCAGTTTGGGTTGTTTCTTCATCTCTTGGGGTTTTTGGTTTTGCTTTTCACCCCAGGTGCCAATATTTTGAGAGATTCTGCTGGAAATGTGAAACTTGGAGATTTTGGGGCCAGCAAACGCATCCAGACCATCTGCATGTCTGGGACTGGAATTAAATCTGTCACGGGAACACCGTACTGGATGAGCCCAGAAGTTATCAGTGGAGAAGGCTATGGAAGGAAAGCTGATGTGTGGTAAGGAATACAGCAGAAACCCCACCACTGCCGCTTAAATCAAACAATCCCTTTGGGAAGTTGTAATAGGAGCAACAGGTATAGCTAGGAGTTGGAAGATGGAGCAGGGTTAACTCTGGGTTAACGCTCCTAATGCTCCGAAAAACGAGGAGGAAGCACTGTCTCCGCAGTGTGTTTTCTCTTGGGTGCCCAAGCAAAGTAGGGCCGACAAGAACTAGCCCTTCCACCGTAAGCCTGATGGGAAAACCTAGGGAGTCCTTAGCAGGCAGCCCTGCCTCTCTGCTCTGGCCGATGGGAGGATTCCATTTTCTAGGAGCAGCTACAAATTGGGGTGGCAGAGAGGGTCCCCTCTGAGACGAGGGCTCCTCAGCAAGCACAGGGACACCCCTCGGACTCTCTGCTGCTCACCTGATGTGCTCCTTCACGTCGGAGGTGAAGTTGGGTGTAGGTGAATGCATTTCACTGTGGATCAGCTTCCTGGGGACCAACTGCTACTGCGGAAACCGTGGTATGCTTGGGTTTCCCTTCAGGCTGTGCTCCGATAGGTCTCTCCCATGTTTTTATGAACATACCTGGCAGTTAATGTAGCAGGAAAGCCCCTGGCTTTAGGGCAAGGCTTGCAAGTTCACCCCCACGAGTGGGAGTGGAGAGCCTGGTGCCAAGGACCTGCGTGAACCGGGAGCTTCGGGGGGCCACGCGTCCCGGAGACGTGCGCCCATCTCTCATGTGGGTTTGCACCCCGCACCGTCCGTTCCAGGCAGGCACAATCCTAGACTTTGAATGCCCAGCCACTCCGCCCCC